GGGCATGGTGGCTTACACCTGTAATCCCAGCACTTTGGGAGCCCGAGGTGGGCAGATCATGAGGTCAAGAGATTGAGACCATTCTAGCTAATATGGTGAAATCTGTCTCTACTAAAAGTACAAAAATTACCTGGGCGTGGTGGTGTGCATCTGTAGTCCCAGCTACTTGGGAGGCTGAGGGAGGAGAATTGCTTGAACACAGGAGGTGGAGGTTGTGGTGAGCCGAGATCCTGCCATTGCACTCCAGCCTGGCAACAGAGTGAGAGTCTGTCTCAAAAATAAAAAACTTTTGTGTATTTTCATGATAGTAATTATCATCTCTTTCTTTCCAGATGTAGGACTCCCTTGAGCATTTCTTGTAGGGCCAGTCTAGGGGTGATGACTCCCTTACTCTTTTTCTTGTCAGGGAAAGATTTAATTTATCCTTCATTTCTGAAGCACAGTTTTGCTGGGTGTAGTATTCTTGGCTGAAAATCTTTTTCTTGCAGCACTCTGAATATATCATCCCATTCTCTGCTGGCCTATAAAGTTTCTGCAGAGAAATCTGTCAGTTTAATAGGGATTCCCTTAAATGTGACTTAACACTTTTCTCTTGCTGTTTTTAGAATTCTCTCTTTAACTTTTGACAGTTCGACTCTAATGTACCTTGAAGGGGACTTTTTTGGGTTGAATCTATTTGGGGACTTTTGAGCTTCCTAGATCTGGTTGTTTATATCTCTCCCCAGACTTGGGAAGTTTTCAGCTATTATTTCATTAAATAGGTTTTCTATGACTTTCCCCTTTTCCCTTTGAAAATCCAATAATATGAACATTTGTTTACTTAATGGTATCCCCTAAGTGTTGTAGACTTTCTTCACTCTTTTTGATCTTATTTATTTTTTTCCCCCTGAGTAATTTCAAATGACTTATCTTTAAATGTAGAGTCATTCTTCTGCTTGATCAGGTCTACTGTTGTAGTTCTCTATTATATTTCTTAAATTTCATTGAATTATTCAACTGCAAGATTTCTGTTAGGTTCTTTTTTATGATTTTTATCTTTTTGTTGAGTTTCTAATTCATATCATGAATTGTTTTTCTGATTTTATTGAATCATTGGTCTGTATTTTCTTGTATTTCATTGCATTTCCTTAAGATTATTATTTTGAATTTATTTTCTGGCAGTTAATTGATTTCCTTTTCATTGGGATCTGTTACCAAAGAGTTATTATGTTCCTTTGGTGGAATCATATGTCCTTTTTTTTTTTTTTTTTTCATGTTTCTTATGACTCTGTGTTGATATCCATGCATCTGGCAGAACAGTCACTTCCAAACTTTCTGGAGTGGCTTTCATAGAGAAAGACTTTCACGTGCAGTTGGGTTTTAGTGTGCCAGTTGGGAAGTGTGTGGTGACTCCGTTTTTGGGTAGATGCAGTGGTGTATTTTCTGTGTAGCTTCTTCAGCTGCATTTAACATGAGCAATAACTGCAGGTGCCTCAGAGTCCTAGGCTACAGAAGTGTGGCATTGGCAGTGGTGGTATATGTTCTTCATATCCTTGGCATCAAGGACTTTGAGTTATCCTATTCTAATTTTCCTCACAACGGAGTGAATTAGCCAAGAGAATCCCTCTTGGTATCAGGATGTGGCCTACAAGCAGCTGCAGAGGCACTGGGTTCCAGTGCCTCTGGAACCCAGATGCTTGGTGTGGCTATAGGGTCAGGGTTCTAGGCTTAGGGTCTCACAAATCTATTGTGGCACCTGGGTATTGGGTGCAGGTTTGCTCTCTGTGGCAAGGTTGGATGTAGGTTGCCCACAGAGCGAGGATCTGAGGCACCTGCCAGCAGCTCAGGCCCAGGGGACTGGCTCATAACTGGGATTCTAACACTGGGGAATAGGCCATAGCACTGGCTTCACTCTGGGAAGGAAGGAGTGCTCCAGAGGTTTGGGCCTAGGGAGCAGGGTACAGCTGCAATTCAGGGATCTGAGCCAGTAGGCCTCAGTGGCAGCTCAGGTTCCAGGGGATGAGGCACCAGGTAGTAGTGACTCTAGGATGGTAGGGCTTGGCTATATCCCAGACTTTGTGAGGCCAGGTGCAATGGCAGCAAATACCCCAGCATGGCAGAGCACAGCTGTCATTTGGGCCCTAAGTGTCAGGGAGCAGCACAACAATGACTCCACACCCCAGGAAGAGGGTTTCTTAGCAGCTCAGACTCTCAGGACAAGGCCAGTTCCAGGGAAGCAGGGTACTAAGTTGTTAGGCCAGGGCAAGGTATCTCGGCTCAACCACTGCTCTGTTTCCCTAGGACATGGGGTACTGTGTCAACTCAGCCCTGGAATACACAGCTGCTCAGCATGGCCAGCCACCAATTCCCCTGGAGACAATGTGCTGCTTTAGCACAGGCGTAGCGTGGGCATAACTGTTCTGGCACAGTATCCCTGGAATGCAGGGTGGGGCTTCAGGTTAGGTGCTAGGATGCATGACTGCCCTGGGTCACCACTTCCTGGAATACAGAGTGCCTCTTCACCTGAGGCACCAGGGAGGCCTGACTGCTCTCAGCAATCTACTGTTTTCCCAGTAGATAGGGTACTGCTTCAGCTCCAGCCCAAGGGGACAGGGGAGGGGTAGGTGGAGTGGCCCTGCCTCCACTTGGCTTCTTGGGGAATGGTGTAATAGGTGCTCACAGCTTGGCTTAGATTGTCAGGACATCATGTTGGAGTGGTTTGGTGGTGGCTTAGCCTCAGGAATGAAGGTATCTGTGGCCATCTGCCCCCAGAACAAAACACTCCCACCGTAGTTCCAATTCCAAGATGGCATTACATAGTAGCTACACAGGCCACAGGGGCTGGCATACAGTATTTGCTCCTCCTCTGGAGGCAGCATAGCTGTATGGACTTCACGCAGCTCCTTCAGCTGGGCTTAGTGCCTAGAGGACTGCAGGCAAGCTAGTGGTGAAGTCTGTAGGTGTCCAAGGTATTGGTGGAAGTTTCTAGAATTGTCTTGCTTGCTTCCTTGCTGTAGGAAGTTCCTCCTTATTCCCAGCTGATTCTGGATGGGGGAAGGGGGATGGAGGCCTGATGTTGGCTTCTGTTCTCTATGTGGCCATCCTGAGTTTCTGTGCTCATCAGCATTCCTGTCTCCCTTTCCGATGCACCCCTGCACTCTCCCTCAGTTATATTTGTTAAAGTATTGCTGTTTATTCATTGTTCTGGCTCTCTTTGTGACAGGGATGAGTTCTAGGGGTACTTGGCCATATTGCTGACATTACTCCCCTAGGCTGTTTTATTTTTTTTTTGTTGCTTTTTAAAAATATATATTTATGGCCGGGCGCAGTGGCTCACGCCTGTAATCCCAGCACTTTGGGAGCCCAAGGTGGGTGGATCACAAGGTCAAGAGATCGAGCCCATCCTGGTCAACATGGTGAAACCCTGTCTCTACTAAAAATACAAAAAATTAGCTGGGCATGGTGGTGCATGCCTGTAATCCCAGCTACTCGGGAGGCTGAGGCAGGAGAATTGCCTGAACCCAGGAGGCAGAGGTTGTGGTGAGCCGAGATCGCGCCATTGCACTCCAGCCTGGGTAACAAGAGCGAAACTCCTCTCAAAAAAAAAAAAAAAAAAAGTATTTATTAATTAACTTATGAGACAAGGTCTTGCTCTGATACCTAGGCTGCAGTGCAGTGGTGCGATCATGGCTTACTACAGCCTCAAACTTCTGGGCTCAAGAAATCCTTCCGCCTCAGCCTCCCACGTAGCTGGGACTACAGGCTTGCACCATCCCTCCTGGCTAAGTTTTTTATTTTTTTTATAGAAACAGGGTCTTGCTATGTTGCCCAGGCTGGTCTTGAACTTCTGGGCTTAAGTGATCCTCCTGCTTCAGCCTCCCAAAGTGCTGGGACTACAGACGTGAGCTGTTGCGCCCAGCCCTTTTTAATAAGAGTATTTAAAATTATTCCAGCGTGTTTCCATTCCAAATGGTAATATAGATAGGACAGAGTATCGGTCTTGCAGGAAGCCATTCAGCTGTGTGCTACCTTTTCTGGCATCTTCCTGAAACAAATTCATACCTGTCCTATGCTGGTGGGCAAGGGCTCTTTATACAGAGCTGCTGGGTGTAGTTACCTGAACTTCTTTGCTAAAACAAGGCTGTTTTAATAAGAAACAAATTATGTCAAGTCACATGGTTCATTAGCAAAATATTGGGCTGTGAACCAGGAGACTGATATGTAGTAACACTGATTAGACCTTACCCAATAACCTCTCATCAGTTTGCTTCTCTACTTATTCTATTTTATGTATTGTAAAATGGCATGATATTCTTACCCAGTAACCTTTGATCAGTTGCTTATCTACTTATTCTATTTTATATGTTGTAAAATGGCACGATATTACCTACTTCTTGCCTAGTTGAAAATCTTTTAATGAATAGAAAATCTACTCAGAAGTGGCAGATGAAGTTAGTGACATTTTCTTAGGAGCAGAAACAGATGACAGGAAAGAAAAAATGACTCAATTACTAGCCATGTGCTAAGCACTGTTAAGTGCCTTATATGTATCTTCAAATGTAATCCTTGTAAAATAGTCCTATGAGGTAGGTATTATAACCTTCCTTTGACAGATAAGGAAAATGAAGCTCAGAGAAGCTAATTTTTGTACCTAAGGTCACACAGCTAATAAGAGGCAGGGATCTGAACCTTGGTCAGTCTGACAGCAAACCCTGGGTTTTTTCTGCTGTGCTATGTTGCCACACAGAGATTTAGTCTGATTGTTGTCATTGTTGCTTTAAAGAGAAAATAATCTTACAGAGACTAAGAAGTAAAGATAAGGCAAAAATGAAAACTTGATTTTATAGTTTAGGAGGCAGTAACAGAAAGCAGCATAAGTGGACTTGCAGAAGCAGGGGTACTGGAGTTGATGTTGCTGATGGATAGTGACTGGTGTGAGAGCCTCTTAGTGAAATGCTTGATTTCCTATGCCCCTATTCATTGGTACCTCTGGCCACTGACCTACCACCTCTTCTCTCTAGGGTAAAGCCCACAGCTTGAAGCCAAGTGTAAAGGAGAAGCTGGCAGGCAGTCCAATTCGTGCTTCTGAAGATGTGAGCCAGCGAGTCTACCTCTATGAAGGACTCCTAGGTGAGAAACGTACTGGGAAGGCCCCTTGCACTGGAGAAAGCTGGCTCAGCCAGGGGAGAGGGTCACACTGAACAAGTAGCTGCTTGGCTTTCTACTGATCTCAATGCTGACATTAGATAGCATTTTTACCTCTGAAGCAAGTGACTTACTGGGTCTAGAACAAGCAGTAGGTGAAAACTGGACAAGATTGGGTTTCGGTATTAATCAACAACCTCTGCCTTTCTGTCTTCCTTTCTTTCCTTTCTTGCTACCATGGTCCTTCCTGCCCTCAATTGGCAGGAAGGGACAAAGGATCCATGTGGGACCAGTTAGAGGATGCAGCTATGGAGACCTTTTCTATAAGTAACCACATTTATTTGTGTGCTGTGTTCATCCCTCCTCCTTGGGAGGGACTGGGCCTTACTTGGAGGCATCTGGGGCTGGTGGCAGGCATGTTAGATCTGGGGTAGAGAGGTTGTATGTCCTTTGCCCTGAAATTTGTAATTATTCCCTTTTATCTGGATTTTACTCTTTATTTTTGGTTGGTAGCTGTATTCTTAAATGTTAAATAAGCCCCCTAAAAAACCTTTATTCTACACAGGCAAAGAGCGTTCTACTTTATGGGACCAAATGCAATTCTGGGAAGATGCTTTCTTAGATGCTGTGATGTTGGAAAGAGAAGGGATGGGTATGGACCAGGGTCCCCAGGAAATGATTGACAGGTATGGGGCTTAGGAAACCATTGGGAATATGCAAATTCAGCCTTCTCTCAGTTAGCTCTGTGGTCTCCCACTTGAGGGCCGACTTGTGCTTGGTCTTCTGCTTAGGTACCTGTCCCTGGGAGAACATGACCGGAAGCGCCTGGAAGATGATGAAGATCGCCTGCTGGCTACACTTTTGCACAACCTCATCTCCTACATGCTGCTGATGAAGGTAATGTCAGTTTTGCTGTGTCCAGCCCCACTGATGCTAGAAGGGCAGAGCTTGTTCCTGTCACCTGAATTTCAGGGCAACTGGGAAGCTATCAAGGTATCTTACTTAGGGCTGTCTTCTTGATTGAAAGTCTGAGGCCTCTGCCAGCTTACAAAGTTCCGTTTATTTAAAGCTGCCAGCCTCTTTTACTAAGGAGTATTGTAGAAAGAACTGACGATTCTTTTTCTTTTTTTGACTGAGTCTTGCTCTGTTGCCCAGGCTTGCGTGCAGTGGCGTAATCTCAGTTGACTGCAACCTCTGCCTCCCCAATTCAAGTGATTCTTGTGCCTCAGCCTCCCAGGTAGCTGGGATTACAGGTGCACACCACCACACCCAGCTAATTTTTGTATTTTTAGTAGAGACAGGCTTTCACCCTGTTAGCCAGGCTGGTCTCGAACTCCTGACCTCAAGTGGTCTACCCACCTCTGCCTCCCAAAGTGCTGGGATTACAGGCATGAGCCACTGCACCCGGCCAAGAACTGATGATTCCATATTATTTATTTATCTGTTTTTATTTTCATTTTTTTGAGACAGAGTCTCACTCTGTTTCCCAGACTGGAGTGCAGTGGTGCGATCTTGGCTTACCACATTCTCTGCCTCCTGGGTTCAAGCAATTCTCCTGCCTCAGCCTCCTGAGTAGTAGCTGGGATTACAGGTGTCTACCACCATGCCTGGCTAATTTTTCTATTTTTAGTAGATATGGAGTTTCACCCGGTTGGCCAGGTGTCGAATTCCTGACCTCAAGTGATCCGCCTGCCTCAGCCTCCCAAAGTGCTGGGATTACAGGCATGAGCCACCATGCCCAGCCATTATTTGTTTATTTTGAAATTTAGATGGTCTCCTTTTACTAAGTAGTTTTAGTATGCCAGTAGAGCTTCCCATAAAATACCATGAATTAATTTTTTTTTAACAGTAGTAGATTATAAAACCTTAGAAAGGATGCTCAAGGCTGGGCACAGTGGCTCATACCTATAATCCCAGCACTTTGGGAGGCCAAGGCAGTGGAGCACCTGAGATCAGGAGTTCGAGACCAGCCTGACCAATATGGTGAAACCCTGTCTCTACTAAAAATACAAAAGTTAGCTGGGTGTGGTGGCTCATGCCTGTAATCCCAGCTACTTGGGAGGCTGAGGCAGAAGAATCGCTTGAACTCAGGAGATGGAGGTTGCAGTGAGCCGAGGTCATGCCATTACACTCCAGCCTAGGCAACAAAAGCAAAAATCCATCTCAAAAAAAAAGGAACGATGCTCAGATTTTGTTTTTCAGCACTGCCCTATATCTTATAGAATTTTCTATAGTTAAAAAAAGAGCCACCCATTAACAAAGTAATAGTAGATTCTAACTTAATTTGGTTGTACTTGGTTTTTATAGCTGTGGAAGAAGTATGTTACCAAGTAGAAGAGTTTTGCTCTGAAAGGGAAACATAAGTCAAGTTGATGGGTAGAAGATAACTGTTTGGAGAAGGAGCCACTGGGTTTCTCCTCCTTCTGTTCTCCCCAACCTCCTTAAGTGTGAAGGGATCAGTTGATCAAATGTAGGGAATGAATGCCCCCAGCCCATCTTGGTCTGCCTCATTTCTTGGTGTAAGTTTCACTGTACTCTGTAGAATTTGGAGGGTGCCAGTTGACTGGCTGGGAAATGATACTGATCCCTAACCTTCAGAGGTGTCTTGGCTACAACCAGTGTGGTGTTGCCACTCTTAAGTCATTGTTTCTGAATTATCCTGTGAAGAGCCTTGGGGGGTTTTAGAGCCCCTGTAGGGATGAATGTTGTGGTATCAAGTGGGGATAGGGAGAAAGTGTCCCCTGGAACCAGGACTGCTCTAAGAGCCACTTTTCTGCAGAAGCTAACTAGAGACAGAGCCAGGGCTTTTCCTCCCCTCATTGTGGCAGAATACACAGTTGAAAGTTTTCGCCCATGTTTAGTGATATGGCCTTTCAGAATTCCACATCTCTCAGATAGTAGGAAACCTACTTGTACATTCTCTCCTTTCTACCTCAGTTGAGAGGAGAGCAGATCCCTTGTTAAGATTCCTGTTCTGGCTTTTCAGGTAAATAAGAATGACATCCGCAAGAAGGTGAGGCGGCTAATGGGAAAGTCGCACATTGGGCTTGTGTACAGCCAGCAAATCAATGAGGTGCTTGATCAGCTGGCAAACCTGGTAAGCGCATCTGGCCACCCCGTAGGCTTCCTTCCCCATGGGTCATTTCTTGGTTTGTGTCACTTGCAGTCCAGTTCACCCCTGGTTTGGAAAATGGAGCAGTGTCTTTGATTCTAAATGAGGCTTTAGTCCCTGTATTCTCTGATGGGAGTCTCTGTATAAAACCATTATAATGCATCAGTTTTGATGTGTGTTCTGTGGACTGCTGAGGATTCAGAGGGTGAAAATGATTTCAAACAAAATAACATTCTAAAAATGTTATTTGCTGTTTTCACCGGGTTACATTTGCACTGACGGTACCAAAACAGTGGTGGGTAAAACTGCTGGCACTTTAACCCAAGTGAAGACAGTGGCCCCAAAGTATGCCAGTAGCTGTTGCACCCCTTGCCCCCATACACTCTCAGTTTTTTTTTCTCGTGCCTCAGCCTCATGAGTAGCTGGGATTACAGGTGCAAGCCACCACACCCAGCTAATTTGTGTCTGTGTGTGTGTGTGTGTGTGTGTGTATGTAATTTTTTTTTTTTTGGAGGCAGAGTTTTGTTCTCTTGTTGCCCAGGCTAGAGTGCAGTGGCATGATTTTGGCTCACTGCAACCTCTGCCTCCCAGGTTCAAGCAATTCTCCTGCTTCAGTCTCCTGAATAACTGGGATTACAAGCATACACCACCATGCCCGGTTAATTTTTGTATTTCTAGTAGAGACAGGGATTTGCCATGTTGGCCAGCCTGGTCTCAAACTCCTGATCTCAAGTGATCCACCTGCCTCAGCCTCCCAAAGTTCTGGGATTACAGATGTGAGCCACCACACCTGGCTTGCACTCTCAGTTTTTTAAAAATGCCAGTTGTGCTTATAAATGTCCTTGAAGACGCAGTGAAGACTATTACTTTTATTAATTCTTGATCATTGGCCGGGCGTGGCGGCTCATGCTTGTGATCCCAGCAGTTTGGGAGGCTGAGGCGGGCAGATCACAAGGTCAAGAGATCGAGACCATCCTGGCCAACATGGTGAAACCCCGTCTCTACTAATAATACAAAAATTAGCTGGGCATTGTGGCGTGTATCTGTAGTCCCAGCTACTTGGGAGGGTGAGGCAGGAGACTTGCTTGAACCCGGGAGGTGGAGATTGCAGTGAGCCGAGATCACGCCACTACAGTCCAGACTGGCGACAGAGCGAGTCTGTCTACAAAAAAAAAAAATCTCGATCATTGATTATAAATGTTTTTAATATTCTCTATGACAAAATGGGAAGTACACATAAAGCGTCTCTGTTGCAAACCCAGTATGATGGTTTTTTTTTTTGAAGAAAACGATTTGCGACCTTGAGCTGCAAGGTGAATTTGGTCGCGTTGTTCATGGAACATCATTTTTACTTGACAACTAGCAAACCGTGGTTATTCAGAGTTGGATATTTGGCAGACATTTTCCTTAAATTAATGAAGTGAACCTGTTATTTCAAGAAAAACAACTGACAGTATTTGTTGCCAATGATAAGATTCAGCTTTTAAGTGAAAATGAGAATTTTGGCAGAGTTTTGAACTTGAAGCTTCCCAATATTTAAAGACTTTTCTAATGAGATTGATGGTGATATTAATGAATGTGATTTTAAAATATTTAATATTACAAAATATGTCAACATTTGGAAGAGCTGCCTAACTCAGTGAAGCAATGTTTTCTTTTTTTTTTTTTTTTTTTTTTTGAGATGGAGTCTCACACTGTCACGGGACTGGAACGCAGTGGTGCAATCTTGGCTCACAGTAACCTCTGCCTTTTGAGTTCAAGCAATTCTCCTGCCTCAGCCTCCCAAGTAGCTGGGATTACAGGCACACGCCAACATACCCAGCTAAGCTTTTGTATTTTTAGTAGAGCTGTGACCTTGATTTGCAAGGTGAACTTGATCGCTTTGTTCATGCATGTTGGCCAGGCTGATCTTGGAATGCCTGATCTCAGGCAATCCACCCACCTCAGCCTCCCAAAGTGCTGGAATTACAGGCTTGAGCCACTGCACCTGGCCTTATTTTTAATTTTTAAATAAAAATTTTTTTCAGCCTGGGCAACATAGGGAGACCCCATTTCTAATAAAAATAAAACAATTAGCCGGACGTGGTGGCATGCACCTGTAGTTCCAGCTACTTGGGAGGCTGAGGTGGGAGGATCACTTGAGCTCACTGTTGAAGCTGCAGTGAGCCATGATAGCCCCACTGCACTCCAGCCTGGGTGACAGAGGGAGACCCTGTTTCAAAAAAACAAAAGTATGGAGAAGAGGGTCTCACTTTGTTGCCCAGGCTGGTCTCCAACTCCTGCCTGGGCTCAAACAATACTCCCAACTTGGGCTTCCAAAGTGCTGGGATTACAGGAATGAACCACAATGTCCGACCTAAATGGATTTTAATGTAACAGTGTAAAATGTTCATTGATGTGCTTTCAGATTCCACACTGAACTAACTTTAAAAAGCTGCTATCAGCCGGGCGTGGTGGCTCACACCTGTAATCCCAACACTTTGGGAGGCTGAGGTGGGCGGAACACTAGAGGTCAGGAGTTCAAGACCAGCATGACCAATATGGCGAAACCCCATCTTAAAATAAATAAATAAATAAAGCTGCTATCACTGAGTGTGGCGGTTTATGCCTGTAATCCCAAGTACTTGCGCTGAGGCAGGAATGTCACTTAAGCCCAGGAGTTCAAAGCTGTAGTAAGCTATGGTTGTGCCACTGCACTCCAGCCTGGGTGAAAGAGCAGGACCTTGGCCCTAAAAAAAGAAGAGGCTGCTCCTTCTCAAGTTCTGGTATAGTGTTAAAGAAGAATACGCCTATTTACCTGAAAAGGTTATGAAAATCCTCTTCCATTTTCCAAATATGTATCTGGGAGATCAAGTTTTCTTCATATACCTCAAGCAAAGCAACATATTGCAACAGCCTGAATGCAGAAGCAGATAGGAGAACGCAACTATTTGCTGTTAAGCCAAACATTAAAGAGATTTGCAAAAATGTGAAACAGTGCCATTTTTTTCTCTTTTTCTTTTTTTGGAAAATATAGTTATTTTACAAAAAATTGTTATTTGTATTACTATGTAATGGGCTATTAATGAATCATTAATTGTTTGTGTAATTACTCATTTGAGAAATTTCCATTTAAATTTCTAGTATGTAAATACCTATAAATAGAACTCACATAAACAAAAGCTCTTTGGAATCTTTAATAATATTTAAGAGATACAGGGCTTCTGAGACCAAAGCATCTGAAACCACTTCCCTGGTGACTGGTGGCCAGCAGATGAGACTGTGCTGAGGAAGCTGATAGGAATTTGATTGCTGGATGGGGAATTGTTGGCCCAGAGCTCTGGGAGGGATGGATAGTTGTCCCTAAAAAATCTCTCTTTCATCAGAATGGACGCGATCTCTCTATCTGGTCCAGTGGCAGCCGGCACATGAAGAAGCAGACATTTGTGGTACATGCAGGGACAGATACAAATGGAGATATCTTTTTCATGGAGGTAGGTGCGGGTTCATGCTGGGGGCCCAGAGGTCTATTTGAGAGTCACAGGGAATTCCTAGAACCGATGCTAGAATATTTTCCTCATTTCTCTCATTCATCTTCATGATCCATTTATTATTAAATTATCATATTTTTGTTTTGTTTTGTTCTTTTGGGTTTTTTTGATACAGTCTTGTTCTGTCACCCAGGCTGGAGTGCAGTGGCTCAGTCTCAGCTCACTGCAACCTCTGCCTTCCGGGTTCAAGCAGTTCTCCTGCCAATTAGCTGGGATTACAGGCACCAGCCACCATGCCTAGCTGATTTTTGTATTTTTAGTAAAGATGGGATTTGACCATGTTGGCCAGGCTGGTTTCAAACTCCTGACCTCAAGTGATTCACCCATCTTGGCTTCCCAAAGTGCTGGGATTAGAACCATGAACCACCGTGCCTGGCCAGATTATGAGATTAGATGATACCCATTTCTCTTCTTTTTCTTTTTCTTTTTTTTTAAGACGGAGTCTCGCTTTGTCACCCGGGCTGGAGTGCAGTGGCATGACCTTAGTTTACTGCAACCTCTACCTCCTGGGTTCAAGCGATTCTCCTGCCTCAGCTTCCTGAGTAGCTGGGATTATAGGTGTGCGCCACCATGCCTGACCAACTTTTTGTATTTTAGTAGAGACAGGGTTTCACCATGTTGGACACATAAAGATATCTATGTATAGATGATATAGTCACATTGTTCATAAGTCAGAATAACACAAAATAGTACACATTGGGAAGTCTTGCACTCATAACTGTCCCCTTCCACTTAGTTCCCCACTTGCCTCACCCCTTCATCCTATAGCCAACCACTTTTATTGGCTTCCTTTGTAAATTCCAGTGGGTTTTTTTTTTTTTTT